ATGTGTTACTGTGAATTTGAAATTTGAACCTCTTTTTCACAGAAAATGTTTTAGTTTGCGAAAAACTTAAGTTGAAGTCATTTTAAGTACTTAAACTCACAAATACAACCGAAATTAACTTTACATCGCATTAAAGAGTGCAATTATCACTATCCGTTTCGAATGTTTAAAGAAAAGGTTGGAGCTGTTGGTGAAAAAATGGCGTTTGAACGTTTCTGAAACTGCGGAATTTTGAGCTCATTTTCATGGAAAACTTGAGTTTTGGGGAAACTTTATCTGGTATTATTTAAAGCGCATTTACTCATATATACATAAATGTAAAGAAATTGCTGCTAATGTAATATTAACAACGTGAGAGACAAGTTAAAAAATTACATTTTTGTAATTTTTGAAAAATAATACTAAAGAATAGAGCCATATGGCGTTAAGTCATTTCATAGAGTATATTTAGCGCTATTTCTATCAAAAGTTTAAAGAAAATATTTGGAGCAATTTTTGTGAAAATTTTAATCTGAAAGTAAAATTTCTCAAAAATGGATTTAAATTTTTCTTTACTTTTTTCTCTAGGATATTGCAAACGAAGGTTATAAAATGGAGAGGTCCCATTTTTTTGCGGACTCTCTGTACGTTCGAAAATTACAACCAAAAAAGTAACTTGGCAAAACTACAGTATGGTTGATAGAAAATTTTTCCGTAATGAAATTAGTTCTTTAAAATTAGGTTTTGAAATAATGTAATGAAGATCTCTGAATTTTTGAAAATTGAAACTACAAATGTCAACATTTTTAAAACGTCGGGAAGTTTTGTGTTCAGCTGTTCGGCTGATGGTGTAGGAGTAACGTTAATCGCGTGCTTTCTCTAAGGATCTGAGTTTGAATACCATCGCGGAGAAGCAACGTGCTGTTGTAGCAGCACTACTTCCATCGTCATACAAGTGTTCATGATTTTGTCATTTATTGAAGAAAATCAAATTAATGCTTATTATGTGTTAGATGAAAACGATGCAGTTAGAAGAGGAATAAAAAGTTCGCCGTGTGGAAGGACGGGTTTGTTATGAGGGAGAAAAGGCAAATAGCGTGCTCCACTTGCGTAATGGAGCTCTGAGATTAACATTCTGCTCGCAGTGACGCTGAGTGCATGTCGTCTGTGCGAGGCCAACGCTCACCACAAACGTATCGCTTTATATGAATAGTGCGTTTGTTTCCTAGCGGAAGCAGAGACGTTGGCCCAGAGTATACAGAGGAGACACTGTCTTCTCAAGGGAAAGATTATATATATAGAATGTGTTATTCATTTAGTTCTATAGGAGTTATTTTCTTGAAATCTAAATGTTTTGTGATCTGCCAGCTAGGACACGAGAAACCTAAGTACATCAGAGAAGCTCCTCACTGAGTGCAGACGTTTTCGCGGGCTCGGTTTTCCGTGAGGAAAACCTCACTCGCATCGCAGCCTCTGAATGAGAAATTCAAGTAGAGGCCTCCTTATGGACGTAAAGCACATTGCTTAAACGGCTAAGGAAGACGTGTCCGCTCGGGTTTTACATTTATTTAATAATTTTGCAATATATGAAATACTCTGTACTATCCCCATTATAAACTTTATAACTGAATTTAAATAATAGGAATTACTTGGACAGGTCTTGGAATTACCTGGACTTAATTAGACAGGACAGGGGAGAATAGAATGCCATGACCCCAACGACAAGGCACTTTTTGCCTTCAGAATTATGATGATGATGATAAATATGAAATATAATAATTTATATTATAAACGATGAATATGGCGCTGACCTGACGCATCACTCTTCGTAGAGATGATAGATTTTTTAAATCGTGTTTTAAAATGCATACTGATGTATCCTCCTTCACCACCTCTTGCACGAGTCAATAAAATTCATTAAAACAGATGAACAGTAATAACTAAGTTTTAATGACATAATAATAATAATAATAATAATAATAATAATAATAATAATAATAATAATAATAATAATAAATTGCACATTGGAAAATGACGCGTGCTCTTTCGCCAAAAATCTAGAAGGCTAACACTAATTTATTATTCGCTTACATTCAGCACTTCTCCCATCGGAAGAAATTTGTATCTGTGGACTTGACGAGTGTGCGACACATAATCACTTGAGCGGAAATATTTCAGCCTATGAAACCTGTTCCAGAGTGTTGCCTATGTTACTAGGGTTCCCCATTCCTTAGAGACGGATTCACACGTGTTGCTTTGGAGGAAGATAATTTTGTAGAATGGAAAGAGCAAGAGCTCATTCATACAAATTGTTTTTTTTATAAAACTACTTTTTACAGATTTCTCGATGTTTATAATTATTATTCGAATAATACCTTTTTTCAAATAATGGTGACTTAATTGTGAGATTTATCACAGCAAAAATACTGTGTATATGGGGTGGGCCGTCACCCTAACTTACTCCTATGGAGATGGGAGCATCACTTCGAAAAATGTGTGCTTTTGGAATGACTGACTACCCATTTGATTTTGTCATGCTACTATGTGAAAATGGTAACAGAATAGTAATTATTTAAGGCCTTTTTATAAAATGAATGTCTAGTATTTTTCTGCTCTATGCTTATGTTTATTCAGAGCTGAACAATATTTATATCCATAAAATAATGTAACTCTTAACAATATTTTTGATCAAAAAATTCATCATTACGTATAATTCTTCCTCATCTTTCCCTAATGCACTAAATCCGATTTCCATCGAGTGATATCTCTACTAAGGATGTTTGCCATGAAAATAAATAAAGAGCATGTGTCTCAATGAAAGTTTTAATCGTCGGTGATTTTTCATATGAAGGAAAAAATTGAGAAGCTGTTTACAAAATTATTCGTTCATTAAGATTTCTCGGACGCGATCAGTGGGATCATTATTTTCTCCGGCTGCGATAGCTCTGTGGCAAAACTATTGCAATTGCACCATTGTTTTCGGAATGTTCTATGGTTAGAGTCCCGCCGTTGGCGAAATTTCGACACCAGATAGATGACTAAGACGAGTCCATCTACGTCATACTTTTTTTAATGTCGTCATACTACTAAGGCGGATTGTAGTAGCCGGATGATCTAATCGGTAGTTTATGTGGTTTCTCCATTCAATATCAGGCAAATGATGGAGCAGTACCCTATCATACGGAACACAGACAGAGAGCTATCGTTCTTTCCTCATCCTTTTCCCATCCTCTCCCCTACACAGACAGTTGCCTGCACTAGAGTACCGCACACGGCATATTCTGTTGTCGGTTGTTCTTGATACAAAACGACTTTCATATGGATTAATAGTCACACTTTTGGCAATATGTTAGTTGTAAACACATTCTGAGCTTCTGTGAGGATAGCTTCATTTTATTAGGATGCACTTCATTATGTATCGCGAGGGAAGTTTTACTTGCTTAGTTGTCGTTGTATACTTCAACTGGGTTAGAGGTTATGTTTACTGTCTCGGTGTTTCCATATAGCTGAGTGACGGGCGGTCTCATTTTCAATAAATTCTCTAAATTAAAAAAAAACTGCAAACGGGCAAATTTTCGGTGTCTTCCTTCTATTACAATACTGAAGATAGTTTTTTTTACGAAATCTGTTCTGCAAAGAAAATCTTTAAACACGGTTTGTGCAATTAAAAAAAAGCGTAGTTTTTGCGTAATTGTACTAATAATATAGGCAATTTTAAACAATTATTTTTTCAAACCGGCTCCAATTTTTCAATTTTTTTGTTGGATAGAGCAAGGTACTTTTATAAAAATTGCCTAAATTCCATTTCGTGGAACTATCTGTATTTTTGAAAATTGCAAACAAAAAATTAACATTGCAAAACTACAATATTCATAATAAAGACTTTTTCTTTAATAAATCTGTTGTTTAAAACTATCGTGAAATAATGCCAATGCAAATATTTGAATTATGATTGAAAATGACAAATACAAATGTTCAATTTTGTTCTTAAAGCCACGGGAAGGTCAATTGTAGCTGTTCCGTTGATAATTTAGAGGATAACATGAATGACGTGTACAACTTAAGAACCTGAGTTCTAATCTGAACGCTGAAAACAATGTGTCGGTGGGAAACTGTTTTGAAAGTTGAAGTGATTTTACAAAATTGCTAAACCGTTAAACATTCTGGTAGAAAATATGTGCTGTTGTAGCAAATTTAGTTTTCCCTATATTTCATTTATTTATGTATATTGAAAGTTATATAAACTTGTCCAAATTGAATTTTCTTTATAAAAATGTACCAAGGGAGTCGAATCCCATTAAATTAGTCTCTCACTAATCATCATAATCATCAACCTAATTTAAGAAATTTATTTAATGTGCTTTGATATTTTGAAGCAGGTTGGCAAAGTATCCCCCTTCAAAAAAAAACGCTTGATTCCCTTCTGGATGAATGTAACTCAAAGACCGTTTTGGGCCAACCGATGGCTATAGTTATTTTTTCCCTATTAAGTCGGTCACTTTTGTTTCTGCAATTTGACCATGTTAGTTTGCATTTGAAATTATTTTATTTGAAAACATTATTTTTCTGCCAGGAACTTCTGATATTTATAAGTAATGATCTGTGATATTGCCATTACGTTTTATTACTTTCATTTGGCTAGTTTAAAACATTGCGTTTGTTTTACTTGCAAGAGAACATTTTACGTTTGTCTTTGGACAAGAGTGGAGGAAGTATGTGCGAGATATTATGGAGTTAGTGATTTTAAAGAAAAAAAAACAACTAAAATGTCTCTACCTGTCTGAAAATCTCGACTAGTTAGGTTAAAGAGAAGCATGAAAAATGAAGAGAATTACGACATACTCTTCTGATGGTTATCTCACAATTTAACGGTGCGATAGTTTCTGATTCAATGATAGAGCGTTAACTGATCCCAGCCGTGCATGCACTAGTCATGCACGCAGGGCTTGTGAAGTCAAACAGTGAATTGCTAGAAGAATCAACATCGAGGCATATAAATTATTGAGTCTTGTTGTTTGCAGGTGGCAATACGTCCAAACTACAGCATACAAAATCAGCCGATGAAGAGCCATCAGACGGTGGCAATATCGGTGAGTAAAATGAGCCACCTGATTTCTAGCAATTCCGAAATTAAGGACAGCTATTACTAAATGCGTGTTAGGTGAAGTATGATGTTCGGAAACTTATAAAATACAAGATAGGACAAAATAAGGATATTTTATCCTAATTAAATGCTGCTCTTTGCAGTACAATACGGATTTTCAATTAACGGATTAGAAAATCAATCGTAGAATGGTTTCCAAACATCATCAAAATTATATGCAGATTTGCGTCATGCATGCGAACAAATCATATGACATTTTACAGTGCATATGGTTAGCAGGTTTTGTTGCTTGTTGGTATTGATTTCTTTTCTCTTGTGTCATTTATTAGTTCGATGTTATTAAAAATCGTACCATTAATGCAGATGTAGTGTCGGTGGATGTAAGTGATGCATCGCACTCTTATAGTGACACATTCACGCTTTATATAGTTAAATAATAGCTTTTATTTTCTTCTTGGGAATAAAATATTTTATCTGGAGGTTTTGTTGAGCAGAAGTGAATCTGGTTTTCTGGTCTCCTCGTAAGTTCACCAGCCCCACTGCAGATTCTTAGGCCTCCGCGGCCGGAGTCAATAGAATCTTGGCTGCCCGACAGACGCCGCGTCCTAGGCACAGTTGCCAAAGTTTCAAACGAATGCATTGGCCCTGAGGAAGGTCGCAGTAGGACGACGGACACATTGGCAACTGTGCCTAGGACGCTGTGTATTTCGAACAGTCAAGATGCTGCAGCCTCTAGGCGTATTCCTATTTGACGGGTCTTTTCTGCCTGTTTGACGAAAATGATCGTTTATTACGACTCAACCATCAGCCAGTTGAAACGAGCTTTAGAATAGCCGTAAACATATTTCCTGATGAAGAGAAACTTTATGTGGCATAAGGGTATACGAACTTTGGCATATTCACCAGATTTTTTTGCTCATTGACTTATAACCTTTTTCCCACCGCGATGCACAACAGAAAATTTTTTCAGTGACAAAGGAAAATCCTACTTAGTATGAGGTCATTTGTGATAATCACGGTAAATACTATAAAGATAGTATCTGTTATATTGATACAGTTGTATTCATAACACGAATTTAATTCACCATTTTGTAACCCTCCTGGTGTTGTTTACTTGAAAAATTAAGTGACAAATATAGTAATCCATTCATACTCTTAGAATGGCATGATTAATTTCAACTTTTAGAAGCAATGTTTTTTTTAAATATATGGGCGTTATATTGAGATATAACTACATGTCACTGATGAAAGTGCGTGCAACAGTGTAGAAATAAGTGGAAAAAGTAAATCAAAGTTTTAGTCTATTGTTTCGTCCAGGAGCTGCTGTTTTATGATAAACATGTTTGAAGTTTTTCTGGAGATAGAAATGCAGGTTTCATAAATTTAATAACACTAGGGAACAAGATTTTTACCTTCAGAAAGGTACAGTGCGCAACATACTCAATTTTATAAGTAGATTATGAATATCACAATAAAAACTCATATCACGTCACAGTTTTTAAATATATCGTATAATACCGTATTTTCTATTAATGCAATTACATTTAAATTGCACCTGTAAGATATATAGAATAAATGCGAATAAAATATGTTTAAAAATAAAATATTTGTTAAGTTCATATATGTTTCTTTCATGAGATATCAACAAAATTAAGCTTTCGTATTTTTTCCCCTTCTGAATTTGAAGATTGCCGTCTTTGTTGTCGCCTACCGTAGTCGCGTTCTATTACGAGTAGGTCATTGTGGTCTTTGTTAATGTTTTGAAAACAAGTCACGTGCACCCTCATATTTTCTACTGCGTATCAGTCATCGAAACGAATTATTTTAGCCTCTTGCCTTATCGCAAGTATACAAGTATCGAACTGTTGAGGTGGCCGATTCTGAGTCAGTCAGCATCATGTGGAACTGTACCCGCAGTATCCGTGAAGTTCGTATGTGGTTTGCATGTGCCTCAAATACATTATAGTTCTGTGGTTTTTATAAAGTGAAATTCGCTACATGATCTGAAGAATTAAATCGGTTCGATAAAATGCAAATCGTAATTTCACGTAGAAAGTGTGCGATTCAATTCGATAACTTCTGTTTCGTTTGTGGAAGATTTACACCCAAACTTCAAAGAAAAAAATGAAATTACAAAACTTGCGTATTTGTATACTTTGCGGTGTTTGTGATCAGCACAAATCATGAGCCGCTCACCAGTGTTGTCACCTGTACAACCAACCATAGGTTGTAGTGTAGGAAGAACTCAAATCATTACATTCGCTCTACCAATATTGTGGAGAGTACCAACAAACCATTTTAATGTCTGCATATTATTGCTCGCTGCGTGTGAGCAATATGTGTATTCCATTTTTAACTTGTTCTTACCTCATATGAAGCAAGCTCATATAATTTTGTAGTAATATAACGGGACTGACAATGTGAAAATTAGTATAGGATTGTGTTTATTTCAGATACTAAAAATGTTTATATCTATTTGAACCTTGCGTGATAGAACATTTTTATAATGATTTTCAAAATCAGGAGTATTTGAAATCACCAACTTTCATCCTGGAGGTGTAAAAAAAAGTTTTTGTTCTATAGTGTAAGTGGTGAATTATGGAATAAGCATTACTAAAATGCTTTGTAGTAGTTCTGCTATTAATAATTATTATAAGATGTTTTGAAATAAGTCATAACACAAAATTCGTATTTTCGAGTAGTACGAATATTGCAGCTCAAGAACGGTTTGTTGTGAGAAGTAGATTTCAATGTTTCAGCTGCTAATATTAGATCTGAATATTTGTGCGGAAGTAGACACGGCTATAGCAACTGGTGATGGAAAAAATTAGATTAGATTATGATGCCGAGACCATTGAATTAAAATAAATTATATTTAAAAAAATATTCAACTGGACCAATTTATCTAACTAAAAATTTGTGGTTTTAATCGTAAAACCACTAAATTAAAATTTTGAAACACCATTATTATTAACCGAGAACGCCAATGACGAAGTCATTAAAGTATGTTGTAAAATCAATAAATAAAATAGACATTGAACGCTAAGTAAGAGTCTATTGTAAGCACAAGAAAATGACAAAAATATGTCTTGTCTTTACTATTTTTATCTTCAATAAAATAACATACAAGAAGAGTTTTACTCGATTGAACTGTGTAATTATTTTTTTTTAAATTTCTTATCGTCAAAAAAGAGTAAAAGCTCTATGTGACGTGTGGAGAACAATTAAAATATTTGCATCTTTCTCGAGCTCAAGTACCCACTCCTTTACCATACACAGTTGAATTATGAATGAAGGTAGGACTTTCAAGACTCATATTAATGCGGGCATATTTTAAAATGTAGTAAAAAAATGGCCCTATGTAATTATGCTGAAGCGCAATTTAAAGTGTAATGTATTTAGTTTGCGGACGAATATGCAGAGATACTAACAACAAACAATAAAAGGAATAAATGTTTCTCATTTTTTGGCGCTTAAACGAGAATGAAGAAGTTTAAAACACGTAAAAGACTGTAGACATTGGTTAGGAGCAAATATGCAACATGATAATATATTTGTTGTGGTTTGGCTTGACCCCCTGAACACGAAGATAATGATAGAAGTCACCTGTTGGTTCTTGTTTTCAAGGAACAGCTGATAGTTTCTGAGGGCGTCTCGCAGAATATCGAGTTCTCAATCGTATCTAGTGCCTTAATCTACATCTTTGTTCATATTTTATGTCATCCCCAAATCGGAAAGTCTGAGAGCAATTAATTAGCTTTTCAGAATATTCTCTAAGCATGCAAGACGGATATCTTGTCAATAAGTGCTGAGTTTCGCTCAGAGAATGAATTCGTGCCCGTTGTGTTGTTCGTACCGGCACGATTTAACCTATGTGAGCTAGTGAGTTTATTTCGTGAAGTGTAAACGTCCGTGGAATAATTAATAATGCTTCATAAAAGTGTTAATAGTCCAAACAGTTTTTAATATTTTCAGTTAAGTTGCGCTCGCTAGAAAAACGAATAAATGTAACCTTAATAATAATAATAATAATAATAATAATAATAATAATAATAATAATCCATTCAACGGAAATTCACACAGATCCAGAGAAGGATGGCACTAAGGATGATCTCAGGATATCGCACAGTATCCGACAGTGCAGCCTTAGTACTGGCCAGTGTCCTCACAGTGGATCTTTTGCCCAGGAAAGGAGGACAATGTTCCTGAGGACGACAGCAGATAAACAACAAACCCTGTCCAAAAGACAATTAGACAATATCAAAATGGAATTGAGAAACCATCTCCTGCACCAGTGGCAAAACCGATGGGACCTGGAGTACAAAGGTAGATGGACACTCAGCCTCATCCCTAATATCAAAAATTGGATCAGCAGGAACCATGGTACAATGGTCTTCTACTTGACGCAAGCCTTCTCAGGTCATGGGAACTTTCAAGCATATCTACACCGATTTAAAATCGCTGAAAGCCTGATATGTGCACTATGCCATGAAGACGACGACGCTATGCACACCATATATAGTTGCAAAGCTTAGGAAGAAGAAAGAAGAAACTGCTACAGCAAATTGCGACGGGAATTAACGCCTGCAAACACAGAGCCCAAACTATGCTGCAATCCAGAGACAACTGGAAAACAGTGCGAGACTTCGTGGATCACGTACTAAAAGAGAAAGCCACTATTAAAAGCAGAGAGAGATAAAATACCATAGCGACCATCTGAAGAGGAAACTCATGCTCTCAGCCAATCTTCTGCGTGCAGTATGTCTCAACGACGGTCCCGCGCAAAAGATACCACGGCCCACGTGAATCGAGGAGGTTAGGTTTTAGTGGGTATGCCACGCTGGAGAGTCCGACATAACCGGACTTACCGGGATCTCGGCGTTTGTCCCGACGTGGGCTAGGGCGGTGCCCCGCTGAGGGACATACCTGGAAGAGGCAAAACCTGCAAGCCAAAGTGTAGTTCGACGCCAAATCTCACGTTCCAGC